ATCTCTCGTTTCTGCTTACTCCCTCTTATCAGCCCCTTCTTTCTTACTTCAACAGAGCTCCTCCCCCCACCCCTGCCAACCCCTCCAAAAAGAGCTTCCTTCATACACTTGGAAAGCCTGCTGCTGGCAACTACCAACTATGACATCCCAATTTAGCAACACTAGCAGAGGACAAAATTTTCCCTCTTCGTATTCACATATTAGTTCCAGGGAAAGACTCTAATTGATTCTGCTTAGTTAAAATGCCCTGCTTTGGACTACTATTGCCAGAGGGATGAGTTACTATGATTTTGAGCCTAAATAAAATTACAGGGAAAAGAGGACTGATGTCTCAAAGGAATGACTGCCCGACAGAGAAACCACATGCCTCGGCTCCAACACATCAGTGGGAGGGAGGGAAAGAAGGACAGCATTTGGGAGTCCCAGGACGCATGTTTCTGTGCTCTTTTACCAGCTGGGTGATTTCTCAAAAGCCACGTCGTCTTGCTGAGCCTCCATTCCTCGGGTGTAAAATAGTTACACGGTATTACTAGAACAATATTAAAGTATATGTTACAGTATCTCTGAGTGGTACTAGGTGATCTTTCAGATAATGGAAAACCGACTTAATTGAGGAAGGCATCGCAACAGTGCCCGCCGTCCTCTATTTTTATACGAATACTTTTATGGAGCAATTTACATTTTACAAAAAGCTTTTTAATCTATCATACAAATTGGAAAAATGAAGTTCAAGCGGCTAGAGTGCCGAGAATATAAAGTAAAATTAACTTATTTGTGTAACTGTAGCCACACGCAAACACGCAAAATATGTGACGATACTGCAAATGAATCATTTCCTGGATTAAGAAAAGTGGCAGAGACTCGCTCCGGGACAACACGCACGCAGACATCCATCCCGTAAGGCAGGCATCCTAGAAGCACGTCCGCACAGCCCTTCTCCTCCGGGGAGCCCACTCTCGGTTCAAGGAATTTTAGAGCTGCAAAGGATTGCGGCCTCCACCAACTAGTGAGTGTGTGCTTGTGCGTGTGCGTGTGCAGAGAAGAGGCGGGGAGAGGGGGGCGGGAGGTGGCGGACACTGAACAAGCTAGGACGTTCAAAACACACACACACCAAAAAAAAAAAAAAATG